TGGCATAAGTAGGGGGACACTTAGCCCGTGCGACCAGTCCCTCACCTGAATTCTCAGTGCAAGCCACAATCAAACCCCAAAGAAAGGAATAAAAACTAGATTCTGCTATTTTGAGATCTTTAGTGTCTAACTGCTACAATTCACATCATATCTCACTACTTTATGATTTAGACACATTTTTCCCACTTGATCTCGAATTAGCCTTAGTGTTGTTGTGCTCGTTTGGGTTAGACTTAGACTCTTCTTATAGTTGTATATAGTTTTGTATTTTTATTTTCAGGCTTTACTTGTAAAACTCCTGTGGTAAACCAAAAAAGTGAGTCTAAAAAAAATTTATTAAAGGAGAGACAACTACCCCCTTTTTCCAGTTTTGTTTTGTTTTATGAATCAAAAGTAAACTATTTCAAAAGTATCGTTCGAAAAGTTTTGCGTCAATTTAAAAAAAAAAAAGGGTTCAATAAAGTCTAGTATTTAGTTCGTGCACTTGAAATTTCATATGTAACCAATTTGTTTGGAGAAGTCAAACTTTTGATATTTTGTGGAGTTTGAACCTTATGTTTGTTGGTTCTAGTCTTTAGAAGTTAAAATAATAATAATAATAATAATAATAATAATAATAATACAAAAAAAGAGAAAAAAAAATTTAGTTTTGAAAAATCGGATATTATCGCAATCATAAAATGCGAGTGTAGTTATATATTTTTAGTATTTTCTTCTTTGTGTCTTAAGTATTTGTATTTGTTTTTGTAACATGTTTTTGGGGTTTTGTTGTCCAAAAAAAAAAAAAAAAGGTCGGGCCACGGAGTTGTATCCATTTGTTTGCTTTTGTAAATGTTTAGTTTTTCGGATTCTAGCTCATGTAATTAGTTTATGGTTGATATTTTTCTAGTTAGATATCATTTTTGTTGGCAACTACGATGGCGCCCTTCACTCATCGTGTGCTCGACTCTTCGCTCTACATGGATCATATTTTGGTGGAAGCACTTACTCTTCTTGATGATTGTAGTTTGCCAACTTTTGTACATAGCTCGCTCCTTGCCATTTTTGGCCCGAGTTATCTTTCTCTAGGTTTTATTTCTTGATGTGGGGTTGAAGTTGTGAGGAGTGAGGAACATTCTAACCGAGGGACACTTTCTTATGGCTAGTGGGCTAGATCGGACCACGAAACAATGTCACATAAACCATACTAGTGAAGTATGCATGCTCGTTTTGCATCTTGATCAACATGTTTCTTGCTAGAAAGGTAACAAAAGGCTCGTCCCTCAAAGTGATTCTTACCTCTAAAATGGATATATGTTTTTATTTTAAGGACGTGTTGTGAATTTCCACCTAAGATGTTCATTCTTTTTTCTTTCTAGGATAGTTCATCCCAAGTTCATTTTAGTCTTGTCTTACTTGAGGACAAGTAAGGTTTAAGCTTGGGGTGATTTGATAGTTTCATTTTATTTACTTCTTTTTATAGTTTATTTTAGCACATTCCATCTCATTTTAGTTAATCTTCATGCATATTCTCTTTTTGTTATTTTTTCTCCTTTACCGGGTGTTTTCCAGTCTTTTGAGCTTATTTGCAGGATTTATCGAAGACTATTTGTCATTGGAGGTATGGAAGGAGTGCGGGGGACTATTAGGGGCTTGCAATTTTGTCGTGAACTTGAAGTGTGGCAATTGGGCTCGGTGTCAGTACAAGCGGGATGCGCGTTGGATTTTATATTGGACGAGGACTCGAGTTGAGGAAGATTAAGGAGCATTGGATCAATCAAAGAAGGCTTTGGAATGGCACAAATGGGCTCTAAAGAATTATGCATGTGGGCTGAAGTGGGAATGAGAAGATTGGGCTAGATTGCATGTTAAATGGCCAAGTCCCACATTCAGCGTGACCCACGCGGTCCGCGTGGACCCATACGCGGTCCGCGTGAAATGTGCTGACTTGATTCGAGTTTTGACTTGTTGACTCTACTTGTGGAAAGTTGGTGGGTAGCTTTTGGGCAACTTTTTGAATCGGGAATTAAACCTTATCTGCTAGAGTTTGGGAGCATTCTTGAGGATTATCACTTGAAGAACACACACAATTCTCTCTCAAGGAGGCTTTGGAAGATTTGAAGATTTTTTGAAGATTAGTGTAATTTATTTCCATCTTGCAACTAGAACAATGTTTGGTACCACTAAACTATATTGCATTTCTTTTACTTTGGTCATGCTTGGCTAAACTCTCATTTGGTTGATTAGGGTTTAATCCCATGGATGATTGGTTGTTTTGAAGACTATTATTATCTTGTGTTGAAATTTATGGAAATGTTTTCTAGTTAAACATCTTGTTGTGTTTATTTATCTTTGATCATGAGCTTAGATGAATGAATGCTTATTTTTGTTGACTAATTCTTGGTTAAGTATGGACTTTCAAATTAGTAAGCAACAAATGGTTTATATGTTTGTTTTCATTTCATTTAGACCATGGAAATGTTTCCTCCATAATGATAATGTAAGCATTTGATTATCTTTTGGACTTGGTAACTCTTTCAACTTAAAGCTAATTGATTTTCATAAGATTTTATGCTTCATTGATTTTGTGACTTCAATTAAGGAAATGTGTTAAGAGCTCCTCTAGCCATTTTAATATCTAAGAAGAGTTGAGGCAATTTGTGCTTATGAATTGCTATAGCCAAGTTAAACCAATTCACAAGTGTTATTCTATTTAGTCTAATGATAAGTCAACCATGTCATCCATGTGGTGTACCATAAATCAACCAATTTCACTTCATTGAATTTAATCAAATCTTTTACTTGTTTACTTGTCATATTTACATTCTAGTTAGTTTTAATTTTATCAAGCAATCAAAAAGAACTACCCCCCCCATTTTTATTTTATTGTCATTTTACAAGTACTTTTGGAAAGAGATTTTCCATAGAGTTATAAATTGAACCAATCTCCGTGGATCGACCCCTTTACCACTATACACTATTTTAGTGTAAAAGATTTAGGGTTATTTATTTTTGTTGGCCTCGACAATCACCAAGGATCATGCTCAAAGAAATTCCCAAAGGAATATCAAATGGTATCTACATTTGACAAACATGGTTACGCACGTTACAAGAGACGTCGAACTTCTCACTTTGTCCAAAAGAATGGAATTTTCTTAGATAACAGTTACGTTGTGCCCTACAATTCAACTTTGTTACTGCATTTTCATGCCCATATAAATGTCGAATATTGTGGATGGAATATGCTAATAAAGTACCTCTTCAAATACATATCAAAAGGATCTGATCGTATAAAATTCGCTATTACAAAAAATCCCTCTACCATTGTTGATATTGGGACAAATGCTCCGGATGAAATTGACGAAATCAAAAACTTTGTAGATAGTAGATTTATCTGTCCTCATGAAGCGGCATGGAGAATTTTTGATTTCGTAATACATTACAGAAATCCTCCCGTACAGGTACTTTATCTAAAACCACAATATTTGCTTACAATTTTAACAACATTACCTGATCACCCACATTGTCTTTTTAAGGTCCTTGCTGTTCATCTTGAAAACATGCAAAACGTCACGTTCAGAGACAATGAACAGCTTCACAACATCGTGTCTGATCCGTATGCAAAAGCCACAACTTTAACAGAATGGCTTGCAAATAATAATATTGATGCCAGCGGACGCGATCTACGCTATGTTGATTACCTTTCTGAATACCGATGGGTGCAAAACGGAAAACACTGGAAACGTAGAGTCACAGACAGAACACCAGCTATAGGTCGACTAATATACGTCCATCCATCCGCTGGTGAGGCGTTTTACCTCCGAATAATGTTGTCACATCAAAAAGGTTGTCGTTCCTTCGAGGACATAAGAACCGTAGGTCGTGAATTACTTCCAACATTTCGAAGTGCATGTGAGAAACTTGGACTGCTTGGAGATGACAATGAATGGTTCAATGCAATTGAAGAGGCTGTTGCATGGGCAACCGCCGCTGAATTAAGATCTTTGTTTACTCATATGCTTTTGTTTTGTGAGATCTCAAATCCTAACCAACTTTTTCAGCAACAGTGGAAGAAGTTTGCTGACGACGCATCATATACACAACATATAGTCAATGATAAGACCAGATGCAATACGTTCTATATGAAATTGAATTATTATTACGTTCAGGAACATCAGCTACCTCATTGTCAGCGTTCGGATTACCCATGCCAAAAGCAGAAATGCTAGCAGCTTTAACAAATAGACTCCTCATGGAAGAGAAAAATTACGATAGGAAAAAACTAACAGAAGACCATGACTCATGCTATACTACTCTGCACCCAGAACAGAAGTTTATATATGAATATGTGATGACGACTCTGACAAGGAACGAGCAAGTTTTGTCCTTTGTATATGGACATGGTGGCACTGGAAAAACCTTCCTATGGAAAATATTAATTTCTGGTCTACGTTCCAAAGGGAAGATTGTTCTGGCAGTTGTTGCATCAGGTATTGAGTCGTTATTACTCCCTTCTGGAAGAACGACTCATTCACGTTTCAAAATACCGCTAGATCTTACTGATAGTTCATTGTGCAATATAAAGAAAAACACACAGCTCGCCCAACTACTAATAGAAACAACACTCATAATTTGGGACGAAGCACCAATGAACGATCATAGGTGTTTTGAGTCCTTGGACAAAAGCCTGAAGGATCTAACAGACTGTACGGATCAGCCATTCGATCATAAATCAATACTTCTAGGAGGGGATTTTCGCCAAACGCTACCTGTTAAACGCAAAGCATCAAAAACAGAAATCCTAAACTCATCCTTGCCTAGATCACATCTATGGAAAATATTTCAAGGTTTACAGATTAACTGAAAATATGCGCTTACAAAGACCAAACATAGATATAACAAGTACGCATGAGGTGGAAACATTCTCACAATGGTTACTTGCTGTCGGAAACGGAGAATTAGGCATCCCTGAAAATGACGGTCCATGCAATGCCAAGAAAATCAAAATTCCGCCACAATACATGATACCTCCACATGTTTCAGCACTCCAAGAACTAATCGGATTCATCTATGACAATATTACTCTTGAAAACCCAACGGTACTAAATCTTTCTGAAAAAGCAATAGTGTGTCCAAAAAATGAAACTGGCCATGAAATAAATATGATGGTTCTGAAGAAGACTGCTGGAAATAGCAAAATTTACTTAAGTACAGACTCAATAATCCTAAACGCCGGTTGTCACGGTGATCCCGGCCTGCTATATCCACCTAAATACTTACACATGTTAAACTTCAACGGTATACCACCACATCAACTCGAATTGAAGATCAATGCTCCCGTTATACTTATGCGTAACATTAGTCCAATTTATGGCCTATGCAACGAACAAGATTGATAATTACACAACTTTTATCAAGAGTCATTGAGGCACAGATAATGACTGGAACAGCAATAGGCCGTAGAGTTTATATACCCCGCATCACTTTGACGCATACAGATAACGAGCTTCCATTTACTTTGAAAAGGAAACAATTCCCGTTGAAACTCTGTTATGCAATGACAATAAACAAAAGTCAAGGCCAATCACTAAAAAAATAGGCATCTATCTTCCACAACCTGTTTTTGGCCATGGTCAACTCTACGTAGCACTTTCAAGAGCAACATGTCCACAATCCCTCAAACTTCTAACTATTCCACAACCAAATGAACCTGCAAACTTAACCAGAAACATAGTTTATTCAGACTTTTTATCGGAAATAGATAATACTTTTAACCATAATTAAACAAAAGTCAATGCCAATCGCTAAAAAAAATAGGCATCTATCTTCCACAACCTGTTTTTGGCCATGGTCAACTCTACGTAGCACTTTCAAGACCAACATCTCCACAATCTCTCAAACTTCTAAGTATTCCACAGCCAAATGAACCTGCAAACTTAACCAGAAACATAGTTTATATAATACTTTTAACCATAATTAAAGTACCTGTATAGCATAACCAAGGTAAACCTATTATCAAACATATGTCGTACGCATGCTACACTGTTTGATTGTAATGTACTTCTGCTAGGTTATTCAAATATATCAAACCTCTTTAATATATGATTAATGTAATTATACTATGCCTTTACCTGCTAATGACCATTTTTGTCTATTTTCTTCCTACAGAACAAAATGTATTGGATAGCAGATGTCAAGCCTAATGAAGAACCCATACCACTACGAATCAGAGTTATTAAAAAGTGGAAAACACACACTAGTGAACAAGATTTATGCTACCTGTTTGTAGAAATACATATACGTCTCCCGCTACACATCTATTAAAATATTGATTTCACATACATATATAAAAATTTCTATTAATCTATTACAGGGAGATGCTATAGAGGCAGTGGCCGACCCAAGGAAAGAACAATCTCTAGATGCCAAAATGACAGTAAATCTATGCTACACTGTAACTGGATATGTTGCACTCCCAGCCAGAAAATCCAGGAGGGTGGTCCGGCATGACGCATCTGTACGTCTCGACGACACAGCCCTGTTCGAACCTCTCTGTGACCCAGACATCCCATCCTACTTTTATGATTTTGCTACATACGACATCCTCCTGGCCAGAAAATTAAACCCAAAACAATTGAGCGGTAAGAACAACCTTTTTTAAAATTAACAAAAAAATATACTCACATTTGACCTCAAATTTGTCAGTTCGTTTTATGCAGACTATATAGGCCGTGTTGAGACAATATCTCCTCCACTAATCCGAAAAGCAAAAAGAATAAAAAAAGTGAAAATACAAGACCAATGGTTAGTACCTTCCAATATTGAAATGTAGCATACGAAGACAACATTCACAAATTCATATTTTAATAATCACCACTAACAACAGGGCACACATAATGGAAATCACTTTCTGGGATGAATCCATCTTCCCATATCAGAGAGAGGAAGCAGTTGGCAAGGTTCTAGCAGTTACTGCTACATTGGTAACTGAATATCAAAGTATACTACAAACCCTTTTCCTTACTTTACTTTCTTAAACGAATACATGTGTCATTAGTTATCCAACTACTAACTACTTCCAACAGACAACTTGCAGTTGGAAACTACAGAGGCAACATCAACGTTCCTCAACCCACGAATCCCAAATTTACAAAGTATAACTGACAGGTACACAACTGCCCTTTACCTATATAGACTGTAATGCCAAAGTTACAAGCTCAATAAATTTTCAAAGTACAGATTCAATCAGCTCAAACACCCAACAGATGTGCAACAAAACCAACAAACCATGTCCATCCATCAAATAGTAAACAAGTTCAAAGATGATCCAATGGTATAGACTAACTTATCACTATTACTCTTAAAGTCTTACAATTCATCAGCCTAATATACTGAATAAATATAAAACGCAGCATAACAAGTTTACCTGCACAACAAGTGTCACAGAAATCACATTGCACCGTAAGTGGTACTATGTTACATGTCCGCGTTGTCCAAAAAAATTATTCCTACAGAAAGGAATAATCCCACGGTTTGTATGTGAAGACGATGGCTATGTTCCTGAACCAAATTTCATGTAAATCTCATTCCAACTTGAAAAAGTTATACTATTCTTTTACATCGTCCTTTACATTAACCATTACTATTTTCAAATGACCAGGTATTGTGTAAACACAACAATTGCAGATGAAAGTACAAATGCAAAAGCTATATTCTTCAATGACGCCATGACACAAATGCTTGAAAAAAGTTGCCACGACATGGTCATCACACATGGACATTCAGACCTGGACATAATTCCCCCAGAAATACTCGACATACGAGGAAAAACTATGGTCATCGATATTGCTATGAAGAAGGACGGAACAATGGCAATTAACAAGGCAATACCACAAACGACACTCGAACAAGTAACACCAAATCCCAAGGCAACAGTAAAAAGACATCTGCCATCATCACAGGGTATACATACTTGCTTATCGCCTTTTTTTAAGTGTGTTACATGTAACATACATTTAATTTCTTTTAATGCACTTGTAGCACTTGACATGCCGCGTAAACAAAAGAAAAGTTAGATACAACTGTACGAATTTTGATGCGTACCAAAGGAGGAATTTTGACAACGACAAACAACAACAGATGGATCTATGCTCCTCAATCATAAGATAAGGCCAAAAGAAAAGAGACATCACCTTTTGTATTATGCAAGTATATCCTATAATTGTAGTTAATTGTCGTATCGTTCGTACCTCCCGAAACTGCAACTAACTTTTTGAATGTATGAATGTATATAACTTCTACATACTTCCTATATAATTCTCTGCCCATCATAACAACCAACTTTCTACCATTTCTTAAATACATCACTGCCGCCGCAACGCGCGGCACGGGTAAAATTCTAGTTTAATTTGTTTTCTTATCTTAGGCTCAATGGAAAAATGAAAAAAAAAAAATAGTTAGGCTCATTTGTTTTCAAATGGTCAACACTCAACAAGGAGGCAGTGGCACTTGTAGACATGTTTATTGATAAAAAAAGAATGAGCACGAAACCAACTTTGTATGAAATTTTTTATGTTCTTATTCTTAAATATATAATTTTGTCTTTTTTATTAAGTGATAACAAAACAAGCACTAAATGATTTATGAATGTAAATTTCTCATTTTATTATTCTTAACTATATAAAATTATGTATTTTTAAGTAGCGAGATTTTAATTTTATTGATTTAGAAGAAATGTTGGCTTAGAAATTAAATATTTTTAAAGTTATTTTTTGAATGAATAATGATATTTTGATGTTTCTAATAAACAAATAATTAAATTAGAAGTTTATTAATATATAAAAAGATAGTCGTTTTGATATATTTTTTTTATCATAGACAAGATGACTAAAATGTAAATAGTTTGTAATTTAAAAATAAATACTTACTATTATATTTTTAATGGTTGGTCGCTAGAACTTTTTGGTTAGAGCACCCACATCGGCTTGCAAATTGGTCTTGCAAATAAAAATCAAACGCCACATAGACCAATCTCTTGCAACAGTTGCAAGGCTTGCAAATGAAACACTAATATTCTATTCTTATTATTTATATATTATATATAATACATATTCCACACACATATATATATATATATATATATATATATATATATATATATATAATATATATATATATATATATAGATATATATTATCTATAGATATATATATATATATATATATATAGGGAAGAGTTATTTGGAAAAACAAAAAACCCTAAAAATCATAAAAATGCATAAAAAAATACTTAGAGATCACAAAAGAAATTTTTTATCAAAAATCGCAGCTTTAACATAAAAAAACTTTTTTTTCAGCGAAATTGTCAAAAAGGCTGCGATTTTTTGATAAAAAAATTCAAAAAAAAGTCTTGTAATGTCTAGGTATTTTTTTTATGCATTTTTATGATTTTTAGGGTTTTTTTGTTTTTCATAAAACCTAAACCTATATATATATATATATATATAAAATAAAAAAACCTTTATTATATTATATATTTTATTTCTTAAATTATAAATTAATATATAATATATTAAGAATTTTTTGATTAATTAAATAGTTGTAGATGTGGGAGATTTTTAAAATGTGACTAGTAATTGCAAAGCTGGCACCTTGGAAAAGATTCTAGTCCCATTCCCAAAAATTTTAAATCCATCTCATTCTGTTCTCTCGTATCCAACACTTTTCCCATCGTTTCTTTGTTTTGACCTGCGAGAGACGAGAGCACAAACAGCATTGGAGCAATCAAGGCAACAACCATCGCCGTCCGTGAAATAGCACGCCGTCGTCCACCAGTCTACCGCTGCCGAAGTCCGGACGCAAACCAGTACACCACTCGACCACCGTCGCCTGAAATAGAACCGCACAGCCATTCAAAGTGAGTTATTTGACCCGTTCGTCACGACACAAGTGTTTTTTCCCGCTACTTTTCCTTTCCCTAATCTCTCTCTTTCTTTCGCTGTAGCAATGTCGTCTGAGAGACTCACAGAGTATGAGCGCAAACGCCTTGAAAACATCAAGCGCAACGACGAACAGCTCGCCTCTCTCAACATCCGCTCCAAGCTTGCTGATCTATCTACATTAACCAAGCGCCACAGGTAACTCTGTCATTCTCTACACTTGATACAGTTATGCAAACTGAAACACATTGATTCGGAGACTTTGGTTATGGGTTTGTTAAGTTGGTGAATCTATATATGTTGTTTTTGATCAGGGAACAGACTAATAGACCACAGAAGAAAGCAAAATCCGAAATCCCAATTGTAACCCGTAGATCTCTAAGAAACCAAGGAGAAAAGCCAGAATCTACAGGTTTAATAGATAATTTCTACCAAGCGCCTGAGAAACAAAAATCGCCCAAATCAAAAGTTGAGTCTGAGAAACAAAAATCGCCCAAATCAAAAGTTACGCTTGAGAAATGCGCTCAAAAATTGAAGCCACTTAGTATGAGAGAAGTGAGTGCTTCTTCTAAACCAGATGAACCACTTGTCAAGAAGATTCTGAGCGTATCTGAGGAGTCGCGATCAAAAGGGGTAAACAAGGATGCTGGAATTAGGGTTAGATCTTCGATTGATTTGGAGTCGATGAAGTTGATTCCAGAAAATATTGCTAGTGTTGTAACTAACAAGATACTGTCAGTTAAATTCTTTCCATCTGCAGATATGAGGATGGTTGTTGTGGGGAACACATTTGGAGATTTAGGGTTTTGGAATATTGATTCAGAAACTACTGAAGATGTTGATGGGATTTATATGTATCATCCTCATCCAGCACCTATTTCTTCGATTTGTATTCATCCATTTTCTATCAACAAGGTACTTACTTACTAGTTACTTCTTATCTAATTCTCATAGATTTTCTTCTTTTTTCATACATAATCTAAAAACTTAATTCTCTTTTAAACATTGAGTCATGTTTTGTTACTTGATGCAGATCATTACGTGCTCTTATCATGGTTTTATTCGCACGTTAGATGTGGAGAAAGAGATTTTTGATTTGACATATTCTACCAAACATGAGATTTTTTCTATGTCTCAGACAGCTGATGATGGGAACTCCTTGTATCTTGGGGAAGGCAAAGGAGTTTTTCGTGTCTTGGATGAAAGATCCAAGAGCTCATCAATGACTTGTAACTTGCATACTTCTAGGATTAACACCATTGATTTCAATCCAACAAACGCCAATTTAATGGCTACAAGTTCTTCAGATAGAACTGTCTGCATTTGGGATTTGAGAAAACTTGGTAAAAATAATAATCCAAGTTCTATTACAAAGATTACACGTGGTAAGCCTGTGCATTCAGCTTACTTCTCTCCTTCAGGAAACCTTCTTGCTACAACAAGGTATAATTTACTAAATCACCCTTATCCATCAAGATTATGATTTTATCATCTTATTAACTTATAACTAAAAAAGTAATGTTTTTAATTTTTATGTATATAGCACCGATGATAAGATCGGAGTGGCAAGTGGAGCGAATTATGTTGATGAGTTCTCTGTGTATCATGACAATCAGACGGGTAAATGGGTTTCAATTTTCAAGTAAGTTCTCTCTCTCTCTCTCTTTTTTCTGACTGAATAAACTATGTGAATGTTAGTAAATGACCTTTTTGCCCTTTTTTGTTATCTAATTGAGCAGGGGTGTGTGGGGGTGGGATGATTCATATGTGTTTGTGGGAAATATGAAGATAGGGATTGATGTTATTTCAACACAAGAGAAGAGGATTATTACTACTTTGAAGAGCCCACATATGACTGTAGTACCAGGTCGTTTTGATGCTCATCCTTTGAAGCCTGGGATGCTTGCTGGATCGACAGATCGAGGCCAGGTTTATGTGTGGAGCTTATAGTATGTTGATATTAGTTTAGATTTAGTTTGAGTTCAAGATTCTTTCAATCTTATTTTTTATCTTTGACAATGTGATTTTTTTGGTGATAACTAGTATACACCAAAGTATGTGATGACAAAAAAAGCAAGTATATATAAAATAGAAGAGAAAGGCAATAGTTAATTGGTTGATCTTTATGGTTTTATACTTTTATCCATTTTTATTTAAAGTCTAATAATGCATCTTGAAACTAAGATGGAATGGAAGGTAAATAAAATGAAAAACAACCTCCTTCTCTTGAAGACTTGAACCTATTGCTTGTAGTAACTATTGAAGTCCTAAACTAAAAATGGAATTCATGAGACTATACACGTGTCAACATACAACTTAAAAGGCTAGAGTTTATGAATAGTTTTTGTTATTTAGGAAATATAGTATTATTTAATTTTAAAAAACATAAAAATAATAACTAATTTTTTTCTCTACAAGGACATATTTTTCATATTCAACCCCAAATTTCCTTCTATTTTTATTTTATTTTGTCCCCATAATCTATTTAAAATAAATAATCTAGTTGCTTTCAAATAAAATAATTTTTTTTTATATTTGTAATAGAGTATAAATAACAATAAGTTATATGTATTTATTAGAAAATTGGGATGGACTTGGTTGATAATGAGTATGAAAAATTAGGTTTAGTTTGGTTGTGAATGTGTAAAAGAGATTAATTTTTTGGGTTGCTAATGAAAATAGTCTAAAAATAAAAGAAAGACAAGTACTAGCTTACGGAGCCATGATCATTCACACATATTTTGATGAACACGTTGATTGCACGTGTCTATATAACTATAGAGTCTCCATTACAAGGGATGGAAGACGCATAAAATTAAGAAGCAAAAAGAGAGTCATAAATGATAGTACCGTATAAAGTCATTAATTATCTTAATCATGTATTTTGTTGAATACCTTGATTTCATGTTCAGATATTGATGTGGAGTTGTATCTAAGATTTCATGTTCCGATATTGATGTGGAGTTGTATCTAACACAAAAATGTAATTGAGCTTTCAGTTTCGATATTTTGGTTGGGTATTTTGATTGGGATCTATGATTTTTGGATTTTAAAACAATAGAAATATGTGTATGTAAATAGAGGAAGAGAAGAATGGTGTGGAAAATATTATTGTATGTAGTGTTTATAGATCAAAATTTATTTATCTATTTTTATAAAAAAAATTACAAACTAGTCGTTGAACGACTAGTCAACCAAGTAAACACCCAAATGTTTTCCAATTGGTTGTGGTCCATCGTCCTCCCCACAACAATCTATGACGACGAAGAACGAGACACCCATGTGGTGTTCACTTCGTGGTTGGGCGTCAAGTGGACAGTACTCCAGAGGGCCTAAGCCATGGCCAAGATCACGAAATTGTGTTAATTGGAGTTCATCTTCTAAGCCATGGCCTAGACCAACTCTTACTATAAACACACCAACAAATCTCACGTATCGAGATCACTCTCTTACTCTCTAGACCTTGGCAATACCATCTCCTCACGAGAACTAACTTGACCGTGGGAACGCCCTTTCGGGAAGGGATTGACATCGCGTTCCTCTTTGTGTGTGATATAGATCATCGTCGTCACTGCCACCGTTCTCAAGTCACTGGAGGAGCTGATATGACATCATCATACTCGTTAGGTATTATGACAAGGTATGGTTATGTGACTCACCAGACAATTTATCAAGTAACATCCCAAAAACATGAATAAAATTTTCCATTTTTAGTTCATCAATTCACATAGTATTTGTTCCAAAAATCCATCATAGTAAAAGTGTATCATAATTATCAGAGTAAACAACAATCATCAATGCGGAAAATCCTCAGCGAAAATGTTGTGCAGTCAAGCCGGGATTTTCCCTTTGGAACTGGAAGTACCTGAAAATGTTCAAACCACAAAATCGTAAGCACAAAGCTTAGTGACTTCCCCAAAATACCACATATCATACATACATTGTCATGGGCTACCCCCATGGTCTTGCATACAAGTGTCATGGGCTACCCCATGGTCTTTCCTTGCACTGCCATGGGCTACTCCCATGATCTCATATACAAGTGTCATGGGTTATCCCTATGGCCTTTCCTCGCATTGCCATGGCTATCCCATGGGCTTATATGCAAGTGTCATGGGCTAGCCCCATGGTCCTTCATACAAATGTCATGGGCTACCCCCGGGGTCTTTCAGGCATGTATCACAAAGACAGCTAGCATCCTATACACTATAGTGAGAAGACTCACATGTCCCTTGAAATCAGATAAACCATAGCTAACTGTCACGCAACCGGTGCTACAACACACCTATCAATCAAACAAGGTTCAACCTTAGTCTATACTCTAGAACTAGCACTTTGACCAAAAGCCAACCCATGTCAAAAAATCCACGATAAAAGTCAACTGTCCAAGTCAACCTCAGAGAGACACCACGTCGTGGCCTCCTATTGGTCACGTCGTGGCATGATAAGGACAAAATGGTCGCGCCTCCCCCCGGTCGCCACGTCGTGACAGCCAAGACGACACGTCGTGAAAACTGGGTCTCAACAGCTTAAAGGATTAAGTCATTTTCTGTGACAACCGTCAAATTTCGGTCAATTCAAAGTCAACAAGTCAAACCGGTCAACTCCAATAACCCTTGTATGCTAGGGTTTACGTTATGTAATCACTATACAATTCGCTATTTTAATGAGAAATCCTCATTTGGAAAGTTCATGTGTTTGATTTTCCTTAGCCTTAACAGTGCTAAACAACGAACCAAAGCGATAAAACACTATTGCACAATCATCGGGATTGTGTACGACACTAAAACACGGTTTAATGGGGTTTACGAACCTTGCGTTGTGAAGCCGGACACTCAAATTAATCACCAACGAAACCTCTCTAAATCGTTTTCACTCTATCTCTTTCTAATTGAAATCTCTCCCAAATCTCTCCCAAATCTCTCCCAAATCTCTCTCAAAAGTTACTTTAACTTTTTGTAATCATTTGGGTCATCTCGACCCTTAACCGGGTCAAAAATCGCTTGAAACGGGATAAAAACGAGTAAAATAGTTTTAAGGATCCGAAACCGAAACCTCTGGTCCGAAGTGTCCGAAGTGTCCGAAGGGTCCGAAGTGTCCGAAGTCCGAAGTGTCCGAAGTGTCCGAAGGGTCCGAAGTGTCCGAAGTCCGAAGTGAAGTCCGTCCGAAGTGAGGTCCGTCCGAAGCGAGGTCCGTCCGAAGCGAGGTCCGAAGTCAGGCCCTTTTTACCGGTTTTTCGACTACGACTTCATTTTAACTCCGTTTTTCATTATTTTAACGTGGGATTTTCACCCAAAACTTTATTTTATAAACTAAGGCCCCAAAATATATAAATCTCCAGGGTTTTTATAAAATATATTAAAAGAATTGGTGATTGAACTAATTATTGAGGGAATATTTGCTTTTCCTTAATTTATGGCAAAAGCAACCCACTACCACGTCACTCTATGATCAGCCACTCTTTCCCACTACCCCTTGTCTGCTTAGTGGACCTTTACAGCCAATCTCCAGCTCTTCCCACGTTCTAAGAGCTGGAGGATTGATCCTCTCTCCTCATTCTCCATAAAAACTCTTTCATTCTACACTTAGCAACCAAGAACACTCTCCAAAATTCTCTCATCTTTTCTCTCAACTTCAAGAACTTCAAGGCCCTCTCCAGGGATTTCTTTCTTCAATTAGTAAGTATCTTCATCATTCACATAATTATTAAACTCCATTCTACTCAAATCATTGATATCTTACACAAGTTCCATCTTATTCGGTGTTAGATTCTCGAATCATCAAGACATCTTCTTAGTGTTCTTGAGTTGAACACTTCCTCTCTCTCACTTTCATCTACTGAAACCACATAAGGTGAGTTCATACCCATACATTCACATGTTTTTCTTAAGTTTTAAAGGGGTAATACAAGTAAAATCATCAAGAACACAATTAAACTTTTCTAACAGATTGCATCAGAAAAGATGGACGTTAATCACGGACTGTTTTGGTCAACTTAAAAATTTTAGTTTTCAAAACTGTTTCAGGTGCAAGTAGTTCAAACTCTTAGCTTTAAAATGACTACTTGCACATCTCCAAATGATTTTTCTACAATTAATGGTGATTTTTACAAAACTGCCTGTCATTTCAGAGGTAAACCCCGACCAGTCTGTGATTATGAACATTTTCACCTCTGTTAGAGATCACTAAAAATCATGATAAAATTTACGAACAAACTAGACTCATATTCCAAACTCTCAAAATTTGCGGATTTGGATTTAGAGCTGTGATGAGTTTTCTATAAATTTTCTAAGAACGGTAACAGAAACTGTTTTTAACGAAAAGTTGCTGTTAATTTCATTTCACCTTGTAACATGTTGAGCAAGGTGTATATCTTTATGTGACTATATGTTACTGCAATATATGACATTTTATCTTAATATTTAGACACACATCAGTTTACAAATGGATTTGGTCATATAAAATATAAAGAATAACAAGTGATTATAATCAAAGTACAATCGATACATTCAAACATTAAATAAACTATTTTGAATATAGTTTGCATACATTACCACGTACTACCCTTGGTTGATAAACTATAATAGGTATAGTTTATGATACATTACATAACACATACATTTAAAAAGGGTACATTTATACAAAGGATATTTTCATTAAGCAAGGTACGGCCATACGGTACCAAGTTTTCATAACACGAAATTCCGTTAATGACTTTGTGAGACAATTACTTCAAATTACCATTAAGTCCTGTATTGTAACCAGAGTCTCCTTGAGGGAGAGCGTGATACTTGTGTATAGATCTATATTGGGTTTGACAAACCCACACCTAAACTGCATGCAACAGTTAGACCGATAGGTCTGGGGTGACAAATGTCATAACATTTCCGACGCCTGAAGAACGTCGTTTTAGGCAACCTTGGTCATAGTATGGTTATAATAAACTCACATAAAGTATTAACAAACATTGGAATTTACGGGAACTTCATTAAAATTTAACGAGTTTATGTCGATTTAAACTTGCATTGTTTTACTATAAATATGACAAATTACTTGTACATTTCGATCTTTGGGTTTTAAGACTACATTTACACATTAAGGAAAATATTAGA